CTAGCTCAACATAGTTCTAAAGATATCCTTTCAGTTTGCCTTCCCAGCTGGACAGCCTTATCATCTCTTTGTATGGCCTTCCCCCCCCCCCAAAGTTGACAGTTTTAGTGTGATCTTTCCACTATCCCCTTCCCCAGTGCTGGCCCCAGCCCACAGACATGTGGGTGGACTAGACTAGTTGTTGAACTAGAATTATAGAATTGTGTCCTGGGCATGGTTCATGTTTTGCTATATCTCAGCATGCAACAGAGAAATTGTTGACAGTGGGGTAGCATGGGAGGGACCACAGGGATGGTTGCCCTGGGTGCAAAATTGTTATGGGTGCAAAATTTCAACACCTGGTGCTGCTTCAATACAGCTGCGTACTTCCATCGCTGGGCTCTGTTGAAAACAGCTTCTCCATGTGACCCAGGAAGTCACCTTTCCAGAGAATGGAACAACTCTTCTTATCTCTGCGGCTGCGATCTCCTGGGTGATGCAGACGCTGTGAGCCCATTGAATGCACATCCATACTCCATCCATTTCACTCTCTCCTACCCACCCCCTGTGCAGCCCCGGATGCTGGCAACCCACGCTACACCACTGATTTGTTGACATTGTTGTCAACAGATGTGTGCTGGGAGCAAAACCAAATCAAATCAGGACCTCACTTTGCTTGGTCCATCATACGCCAGCAAATCAAATGGTTCAGAAGGTATCACTACTGTACAAGATATACTTGGTGAATTTCTGTATTATTACAATGTGCCACTCAGTCTTGCTCAGCTTGCTCTTCTACTAGAACCATAATAGTAGATACATGAGGGGAAGGCAGCAGGGATGAACATGCAAGGTCTGCCTGCTCCAGCCACGGGTTTTCTTATTTTCCAGCCCGTGGGAGGTGAGCTTCTGCTTTGGGACAACTTATGTATCCATGGAGGTCACCCAATTGGTTCTGAAACATGTGGAGAGCATCCACCAATACAAAAAGACTCCCCACTACATGACTGAAAGGTGATGGGAGTTAAGCTAGCTCCTTCATCCCATATGTCCCCTTCATGCGTTTAATTAGCACTGAAATGTAACATGTGAAGAGCGGTTTGATGTATAGCTCTTCTAGTCTTAGGTGCCCCATTTCTCATCAGTCTGTCTTCTCCTGATTCCATTGGTGTATTTCTCCTTTTCTTCCAATATCTCTTCCGCCTGCAGATCCTTCAGGCTCCCATGTTTTCAGTGCAGTACCTGCTCTGTCCTCTACCTTTGGCCACTGTGCCTCTCGGGCTTCCTTTCCCTTAACTCGACAGCCACCTGGGCCTTCTCCACACTGAAGTCTTCAGACCAGAAGTTTGTCTCCTAGTTCCCAGCACCCCTAAAGCTGCAAGGGTGTTTTCCCTAGCTAAAGTGACCTTTCAGTTCCTTCACAAGCTGCAGCAAGCAGTCATTCCAAACATCATTCTGTGCACAATTTGAATATACACACACAGTCCTGTCTCTGTCCACAATCTCATTCCATAAATGTCAAAATACTTTCCAGCCCCCTTCAACAGGTGACTGGATTAGGGTAGTTTCTGAACTAAATGTGGAATGATATCAATGTACATGCTACGCTTTTTGTGCTTTCTTAACGTTCAGTAAACATATCAACTTTTGTGTGCCACTCAAAACTGGGTGTGTGGATTTGGCTTTGATTTTTAACTGGAAATGTGTTTGAGTACCTTAGATTTACAGAGTTCATCTTAGTCTTAGTGTTCAAGGGCTATATCAGGAAATGAGTGTTATGTTAAACCAGTGGGAGCCAACATAGTGCTCTCCATATGCTGTTGGACTTCAACTCCCAGCATTCCTGGGGCCATGTTGTCTGGGGCAGGTAAAAGCTGTAGCTGAAAACATTTGGACCACATTGGGTACCCTAGAGTTAGGCCAAAGGCTTCACTTTGACAAAAGTAAATAAAAATAACATAAATCACGTTGTGCTAAATCAGCTTCTGAATTCAGACACATGTTTAGTACCAACCAAAACATCTCATACCATATTATTGCAAAGAGTCCATGCAGCTTTGTGGGTTATGGCAGTCACCTCTGCAAATATTTAGCATCAAAGTGCTCACAGAAGGAGGAGCCAGATGGCTAGAGTGTGTGGTTCATTTATATGGATGCATCTAGCAGAGGAATTAAAGGGGAGTTCTTTGTGAAAATGCTAACATGCTGAATGTTCATTTTCTCATTCAGCTTTGTGGGACACCTAGACTTTAGTGTTCTGGCAACGCAGAGCCAATAAAACAGGTTCTATGACTGCCACCTACTGTATAGGTCAGGAAACTGCCCAGATAGTCTTATAAACTCCCAATTTGTTCAGTCCGCCACAGACAATTTAACATGATTCTCATTCACTTCACTGTTGTCTTTGTAAGACCCTCCTGTGAAATCCACAATTCACAGTAAAGCTTCTTGCAAAATAGTTGTATTTCTTTGCTGTGTCTACTACCTTCACACAAGGGAACATGTCCTCTCTCTCTCTCTCTTTCTCTTTATCTCTCTCTTGTAAAAGCCACACTACCCATCACATTATATTAGGTGTGGGGAACTTTTAGTGCTCCAAATTTCTTCTAATCAACACATTTTTTAATGAATTTTGACTAACGTGCACACTTTTGCAAGCAATTTCTCCTAATATAATGCATTTTGTATGCTATATTAATGAATATACTTTTCTGCACACTCTCCCGTAATATATGCATTTTTTGTAAACATTGGAAAACTGCATTGCAAAATTCGGATGTGTGCAAATTTTTCAAGTTTCAGTTCTCATGTTGTTTTGGAAATTGGAATTTGATAGATTCAGCCTTAAATGCTAACTAAATTGAATTTCCTCCCCCATCCCAAGTTGAAAGCTTCCTAAATGTGGATCCCTAAGGATAATTCCAAACTTGAGAGAAATTACCACCTGATAATAAATTCTGCAGAATGTCCACATCAATAGGTTCCCAGCAACTATTCCCAAATGGCTAATTTTATGGGTTGTAGCCAACCAAGTTCTACTCAGAGTCGATCCATTGACATGAATGGACATAAGTTAACCTTGTCCATTAATTTCAATGGATCTGCCTTTGAGTATTGCTTGTGTTGTATTTACAGTATCTTTCTGTGTGCATTCTCCAAGCCTATTTGCCATACAGATTTTGACACCTCCACCCCTACATGAATGCACTTTGTTTTATGCAAATTTCACTTGACTAGCAAATAGACATATAATGCAACCAATCGACATCTTGTTAACTCTGCTTGCACTTTGTTTGGTTCTTCTGTTTGACAGATTTTTGTTTGGCAAGCATAGAAATTGATTTGTCAGAAATCAGAAAGTCCACAGGTGTTTTGGAATTCAACCTGTCACTAAATGTTACAATCATTGCAGGAAATGTCGTACTTGCTTCCGGTAGCCACAACTTCACTCTTAATTAGTAACTGGTAGCTCCACCATGAACTTCTTGGCTGCCAAATAGGGAGTTTAGGATAAGATTAAACAATAATGTTTAAAAAGCCTAAGCCAGTGGCTTGTATTTCCTGTTTCAACCACAATAGGCAGTAGGCAGTAGGCAGTAGGCAGTAATGTGTTAGTAGGCCACAGATACTGGGAAGCTGCATGAGGTAAATGCTACCTCTTTGTCAGGGACTGGCTGAATGAAGAAGAGTGGTGGGAGCTGCCTATCCAAGACCCCCACCCCCCCAGGAGGGCACAGAAGATGAGTTAGATCCCAGATCCTGGTGGTGGGACACTGGTGGTGGGACACTGAAGAAGAGGAGTTTGGATTTGATATCCCGCTTTATCACTACCCTAAGGTGTCTCAAAGCGGCTAACATTCTCCTTTCCCTTCCTCCCCCACAACAAACACTCTGTGAGGTGAGTGGGGCTGAGAGACTTCAGAGAAGTGTGACTGGCCCAAGGTCACCCAGCAGCTGCATGTGGAGGAGCGGAGACGCGAACCCGGTTCACCAGATTACGAGTCCACCGCTCTTAACCACTACACCACACTGAAGAGCAGTCTGGGGAACGGATGAGCTGGAAGGTGCTAGAATCAGGGGGGTTGAGTGATCAGGGGGAGTCAAGAGAACAGCCTTCTGGGACAGGGCTGGAGGCTGAGAGTCGCAGTGTGAGCACAGACACAGACAGAGAGGACCCAGAGGTTGTCCTGCTACCCAGCAGCAGGACAATCCCAGTCCTACTAGCTCTGCCACCCCATTTGAGGAGAGTCCTGCACGTTGCTGAGCAATTGGTCAGACAGGCCCAGAGGAGGAGCCTACACCCTCAATGCTGCCTTTGTTTGCTTGGGAGGGATCCAGAGTGAAAGGCTATTGGGGGGGATAGAGGTCAGCTTCAGCAACGTCTCAGCTGGATGAAGACAAACCAGAGGACTCTACTGGGTTGCTGTTTTCTGTTAATAAAAAAACTAATTGCATTCTGTGCCCCCTGCGCTTCCCTGCCCTGTGGTTGACCTGGACTCTCTTGACAGCTCCTTGACACTCTTGAAGAGAAGTACCATCTGTATATTAATTTTGAAGCAGTGCTTAAGGTTGGGTTAAATGATGGTGGTGCCGACAATGCCAATGATATTGCCCCTAAACACGCATTCCTTGGGCAGCTTGCAAAAATAGATTAAAACATTATACCCATAACTGATCATATATGGAGGTAATGTAGCTCACAGTAGAGCACATGAAGACCCCAAGTACATTGTCCAGCACAAAGGAGATGACTCCTAGGGGCCAAGATCCCTTTGCCGCCCCCATAAAATATTTGAGGGAGCTGGACACCCCCCCCCCAAAGTTGATTGGCATTGCAATTCAAATGGTGCATGCATGCTGTGTCTTGTGATTGATTATGCAGGGCGGGGCTTACCTGCCCGCCATATTTTATTTCAGTTGGCACCCCTGGTCCAGCATCTCTTCATGTAGGGCTGGGAAATACTTCTGTCTGAAACCCTGGAGAGCAGCTGCTACCCTGTACTGAGATAGATGGACCAATAGCCTGTTTCCAGCTCAGTTCGTACAGCATAGGACTTCTAATCCCTGGGTCGTGGGTTTGAGCTGCACAGTGGGCAAAATATTTCTACATGGCAGGGGGTTGGACTAGATGACCCTCACAGTCACTTTCAACTCTACAATTCTTCCCCCCCCCGAAAGATCTTTATTGAAACATAACATATATATATATATATATATATATATATATATATATATAACCAAAATTCCCAATGATTCCCTCACATAAAATATAATATCTAAATTACAACAGCTGCATAATTATACACTTAATTATAAAACCCACCACCCACCCTCTACTTCCCTCCACAGCAATTCGACTTCTTTCTATTTCTTTCTACGTTTCCTCCCCTTGCATTCTATAATAAATTATTTTTGTTAAATTCTGATTTTTCCTTCTTTCTTTATTGGTTTGTTATTGCTTACATTTTTTTTATTCTAAGACTTTTAGCATGTCATTTTTAGAACAATATTTTGACATATAATCTTCGAAATACTTCCACTCCATTCTCAACTTTTGATTTGATTGATATCTTATAATTGAAGTTAATTTTGCCAATTCTATATACTCACTTAATTTACAAATCCACTCTTCCTTTGTCGGTCTGTCCTGAGATTTCCATTTAGTGGCAATCACTACCTTGGCAGCTGTTGTTGCATATAAAAAGATTGGTTTTTTTCATATGTGGTATGTCTTTGCCCAGCAACCCTAACAGATAAGCTTTGGGATTTTTTTATCAAGGGTTTTTTTTTAGCATTTTCTTAAGTTCCTCATGTATTATTCCCCAAAACTTCTTTATGTCCTTGCAACCCCACCACATATGAATTATCGTTCCAGGGGTTCTTTGTTACATTTCCAACAAAGGACCAACTCTACAATTCTACGATTCTGTGATTTAGTTTAAGGCATGTGGCATTTGTCGAAGAATCACATCAAATAACTAGACAGCACATCAATGGTAAGAAAAGCAGTAAAACTGAGGGCAATTAATTTGTGCCACATTTTAAAGTGGGTTTTGCTATTACGGAGCCAGCTATCCTACTGGAAATCTGCAGCACTGATATTTACTAGCAGCCTGCTATGTAACAGGATTGCTGCTGACAGGCTGCATATGGCAGACTTGTTGCAGCAACATCCTATGCAACAGTTGCATAAGCCAGTCTCCTCACCGTTATAGCTATGCATATTTTTTGGTTCAGAGTGCCTGCCTTCCCTTTTAAAGGATCAGCTTAGTTTAAATCAAAACTGGTGCCCGTTTCGTATTAAGGACATTAAAAGCGACAATTCTGCTTCTTCAGCAACCATCGTTTGCCTTGCAGGAAGACCCTTTGCTATTATGAGCAGGATAATGAGAGGGGAAATCTCAACTCCTTTGCAAGCACCCAAAGTTGCATGTGGTCTCCTTGCAAGCAACGCTTAATGAACATACATTCAAAGTGACTAAATGTTTCTGCTGGAAGCCAGCAGCATAACTGACTTTTCAGAATAAAAATGGCTAAAATCTACTTAGTTCAAGCAGGTGCATAAGGCATGGCATCTCACATTACACATTGGACCAGGCTGCAGAGTACTCTAATTTTTACCAGCTGTATGTGGTCCTGAAGGAGCCATTGTCCCAACTGAAATTTGCTTGTACAGGAATCCTAGCAAAACCTATTTTCCTTCAGATGGATCTCCTACACTAGAAGAACTGGAATGCAGAAATTTAGTAATTTCACAGGCTGATCCTGTGCAGTTTAACTCAGCAGTATATTCAATTTATATTAACAGTGTTCAGGATAGAACCCAATCTGAATAACTCTGTTTAGCATTGAATCCCAAAAGTAAACAGTGGCTCTCAATTTTTTTTCTCTGGGCCACACTTTCAGGGGGTGGGGGGAATTGCCCAAGCCACACTGAATATTTTTTTTTGACAAGAAATAGTTGGGAAACAAAAAGAAACAACTCCAAGCAGTGGGGGATTTATAACATAGAACACAATACTTTATAATATGATCATGGGACATCCAGAAAGTATGAAACAATACAGCTACATAAGAACATGAATCGTTCCCAAAATACAATTATAAACAAGCCTCTTACATACGTACCTTAAGTATGTATACAAACTCAATAAGAGGTGTGAGATTTCTTTTGCCAGGTAATCTCATTTATATTAGGTCTAAATTTGAGACAAACAAACTCTTGTCTCTTCACCAACACAAAGAGTCCTTTCTCTTTTCTGATATTTCATATTTGTCAGAGTTGAAAATCTCTGGTCTTCCCATTAGCAACACAGCACCATCAGAAAAACATGCAACTGACCATCTGTGCTGTGTTGCTAATGAGAAGACCAGAATATTAGGTTAGATAGATTTGAACCAACACATTCTTTTATTTTTCATATCCCGCTCTGTCCATTTGTCTTCCTCTTTACCTTTCAAAATTATTACTAAAACTTATAATTTGGCTGTTGGGATCTGAAGAGTGTTGATGCCAAAGTAGCTGCTGGGAACATGCTATGATGTAGAGTGGAATTTCAGAGGGGAAACAAGAGGCTTTGCTAAACCCCCGAGGTGAGAAAGAGTCATTGTTTTGTCCTCTCAGACTTCACCCCACCTGGAGATCATAGGGGTTTATAGGATGTGTGGTGGCAGCATTACTGGATAGCTATGGAACACAGATGGTCTACCTTAGAGGACAGTTGTGCAAGGCAGAGCATAAGCTGGTTCTCCTAGTCTCCTCCTTCTGTTACAGGAAAAGCACAGAATACTAGAATTCATCTCCACCTTATTTTCTGCAGTAGCAAGATCGATTTTCTGTCAAGGAAATGTTTCTTTTGTAAATCCTGTTATTATCAAATTCATGGTTTCATCTGTTTTTATAATACTGTTTAACTGGTTGCTATTTAGTATTTTCGGAACACGGGTGGCACTGTGGTCTAAACCACAGAGCCTAGGGCTTGCCGATCAGAAGGTTGGTGGTTCTAATCCCCGCAACGGGGTGAGCTCCCGTTGCTCAGTCCCTGCTCCTGCCAACCTAGCAGTTCGAAAGCACATTGAAGTGCAAGTAGATAAATAGGTACCGCTCCAGTGGGAAGGTAAACGCCGTTTCTGTGCGCTGCTCTGGTTCGCCAGAAGTGGCTTAGTCATACTGGCCACATGACCCAGAAACTGTACGCCGGCTCCCTTGGCCAGTAAAGCAAGATGAGCGCCGCAACCCCAGAGTCGGCCACGACTGGACCTCACAGTCAGGGGTCCCTTTACCTTTTTATTTAGTATTTTATCCCCTTTTAAAATAATAACAGCAAGTGGTTTATAAATGCTTTTAGTTAATTTAATAATCCATCACATGAAACTTGCAGCAAGCTTGTTTTCTGCCGCTGCAGAAGGTAGGAAGTGAACCAATGGACACGAATTGCAAAAAAGTAAATTCCGACTCAACATTATGAACAATTTTCTGACCGTTAGAGCTGTTCATCCATAGAATGGACTCCCTGGGAAGGTGGTAGACTCTCCTTCACTGGATATTTTTATGCAGAGGTTGGATGGTCACTGATTTCCTGCGTAACTAATTGTCAGGCAAGTAGGGTTACGAACATAGGCATCTCGTTTTTCTTTGCTACCACGAAGAAGGAAACACTAAAGCTGCTCTATGAATTAAGATCTCCAAAACACATGCTACATATATATATCTTTCTTGTATAATGACTGCAGCTGTGATATGTTGCTCTGTTGTTGTCTCTTTACTTGTGAAATCGCAAGCCATTGCTCTTGCCAAGTCTCGAAGGCATACAGTGAGGGAACATCTGTTAATTAGGAGTATTATTGGTCTTAAGTGAGGACATTGCTTACTGCTTAGAATTCCAGATTATTTACAGAGTGCCCATCTTCTTTGCAGAACCAAGAAACAAATGAAAGACAGCATTTTAAAAAGTTAGTTGCAATATTACTATGTTTAACATGGGAGTGAACTGAAGCATCTTATCAATGTGCTAGTTTACTCTTTAGCCTTTGACTGATTGACATCCGATGCCCTTTTAAGGGGGATTATTGTCTTTGTTCTTATTTTTATTATGTATTTTGTGTTTCTTTTATATTGTCATTTTATGTTGGGAACCACCTTGAGGTCTATGGGTGTAGGGTGGTATGGAAGTTTAATAAATAATAATTTACTTGTGAAGAAGTTATTCTTAACAATCTTCGTACAATGTTACTGTACATTTCCTCCTTACTGACCTGTACATGTGCCTTGTTGGTAAACATACATTTCATCAGCCTATAAGCTCTGAAGGTGAAGACAGGGGTTTCAGACCTTCAATATTCATAGAACATTAACTACCCATGACAAATAAAAATAGGGAACTTTTTCTAGGTCAGTATAGCCAGTATAGCCACAATGTTTCTACAGAAAATCAAAGTTTCAGGAGATGACTTTCTCTGGCTTCACACCATACATTTAAAGTACTATGATACCACTTTAAATAGTTATGGTTTTCCCCCTCCCCAAAGAATTCTGGGAGCTGTAGTTCATTAAGGGTGCAGAGAGTTGTGAAAATGCCCTTAGTCACCTCAGTCAGCAACAATTTCCAGAATTCCCTGTGAAGAGAGATGAAATACTCTGGAAAATTCATTCCCTCCAAAATTTCTCTGATGAAAATAGGGACGTCCTATTCCATTATTATTATTATTATTATTATTATTATTATTATTATTTACTGTTTATACCCTGCTCATCTGACTGGCTTGCCCCAGCCACTCTGGGCAACTTCCAATATATATATATAAAAACATAATTAAACATTAAACATTAAAATACTTCCCTATACCTTCAGATGGCTTGGGTGGTTGGATAACTCCGTACCCTCCAACATAAAACTAGGGCTGTCCTAAAGAAAAGCAGAACATACCAGGATCAAATCAGAAACCAGAACTGTCCCTGGAAAATAGGGACACTTGGAGGGTCTGGAATTTAGGGTATCTAAAAATGTTTCCCCTTTGCTGTGATTGGGACACACATTTACCCACGTTTACTGAGTACAGTGGTACCTCAGCTTAAGAACTGAATTCGTTCCGGAGG